TGTTGGACATTTTCTTTTAATTCTTCAGTCCGCTTTTTAGGTCGGCCGCTTCCTTCTTTTCTTGTTACACTGCCCGTTTCACGAAAAACATTAACACAACGCTGAACTGCACTTTGAAAAATTTTGTACTCAACAACGCCGGGAAATTGATTTTGAAATTCTATGAAACATTCCTCAATAGAATACTTCCATATTCCATCAATCTTGCGTCCATTTCTAAAGTAGGACTCTATGATAAACACTTTTTGTTCTTGAGAAAACACCATTTTAAACGCTTATAGTCATTAACGTTATTGAAACTGACAGCTGCTATACAGCTCGTTGAGAAATGAGGTTAAGTTGGTCGCTATAAGCTACTCCCTACGTCCAATGTGTCAGAGTCAACTTCGACCACGTTTTTATTTGAACGCTCGTTATTTACCTTTTTGAGATTAACAATGGATATTGAGCATACAATAATTTAAAGAAACACACGTTTACTGACGCACGCGCATTGACAATAGCGAACGAAATAAGCTATCTTTGTCATAAGCATACGAGTTGTCCACAACTTCGGTACCATGAGTGTGACAAAGCGAACGTGATTTTTTATCTTTGTCCTGGCAGTGTCCTAGGAGCTAAATAAAATTCAAAATATAAAAAGGTAAATAAATATGTATCTGTCTAAGAAACCAACGTAAAAAAAAATTCGAAGGCAACTTTTCATTATTTTAAATAATCGATCGAATAGTATAGAAAAAAAATTGTTGTAGTTTTGTTACATCATTAAAATTAACGATTAAAAATTTGAAATTGTTATATTTCTTATTAAAAATTATATATATTTCTCTGAAAAGAAAAGTTACATTTTTTAGAGTAGATTGAAAAACAAAATTACAAAATTCATTCATTTTTCTGCTGGTTACGATTTTTTTAAATTTCTGAAATCTTTCCTTAACTTCCAGCCTCCCTAACTCTGTTAATTTTAATAGTACAAGAAAAAGTCAAGAGGCCATTTTTATGTAGAATTGTACGCTTTATAACTTTTATAAGAAACTAAAACTGATTTCATTGCGGGCAGCTATACAGTGTTCAATATTGGCGTACAGAAAAACCAGAGGCTCATTCTGTGGCTAAAATTAAGTAATTTTTTTTACACACACGTAGGCTCTTAAGGCCGCCGTTTCCGAGCTGCAGGGTTTTCAAAATTAAAAAAAATAATCATTTTCTTAAATTCATTCAATATAACTATTCGTAAGTAGGTAGTAGACATTTCGCAAGATTTATTAACTAGGATGAATCGATTTTTCTATTGTAATGTAAATGCAACTATTTAAATAAAAACAAGATAATAAAAAATACTGTCTGCTATAAGAGTTTGACGATTAGTCCCATTTTAAAAATGCCAATCTACCAGGAAAGCATTTTTGTACAAAACTCGTAAAATGTCAGATGTGACAGTAAAATATTGCCACACGAGTTTAATGGGAACGCCCCATATAGACAAGCGGTTAAGCCGTCANATAAAAAATACTGTCTGCTATAAGAGTTTGACGATTAGTCCCATTTTAAAAATGCCAATCTACCAGGAAAGCATTTTTGTACAAAACTCGTAAAATGTCAGATGTGACAGTAAAATATTGCCACACGAGTTTAATGGGAACGCCCCATATAGACAAGCGGTTAAGCCGTCATATTTTGAACAAAATACGATTCAGATTGGAAATCTTTATCTTGCGTCGAGTGTACCTAGTACCTTTTGATACTTGTTATTTATCGTATACTTGTAAAGAGTGCTCCAAAATTCACACAAGAAATAATTTTGTTAGACAACACAGGTTTTTAATTAAAAATTGTAAATTTTTGTATCGATTCATAAACTATGCGGTATAGGGTTATGTATGTAATAGTATATCAGGTAAATGGCCTCCACTGCTTTGCTAACACATACGCAGAAAATTTCCATGACCGTTTTGCGTAAATGTGGCTGTATTATGTTGATACAGATTAAGGTTTCCTCCTTTAAGGGGTGGTCGTGGGCTTGTTGACATAAACCTTACACTTCAAAAAAAAACCCAAAGAAAAAAGTTCCACGTCTTTTAATAGCACGATCTGGGCGGCCAATTCTGATTACCAAAATGGGAAATTACACGACTAAGAAATGGCACATGCAGTTATAACATTCACTATCTATACAGTGAAAATGTCGCCATTTTTAGCTATAACACTGCTCGTGTACAATATTTAACAGCTTCTTGAGATCTTGAGATAAAATTCAACTTTGTTATTAAACATAATTATTAGTTTTGTTTCCACCTGTGTATTGTTGTATTCTTGTAAAATCTATTCGAATTGCACTATTATCTGTGCTTATATAGTAAGTTATAACTGTACTGCATTTTATTGTTATTATTACTTTTTATTATTGTTTATATGTGAACGAGTCTAATGCACATTTGATTAGGTACTTGGCTCTCAAGTATTGAAGGTTATTTATTTGTTTCTGACACATCGACCTAAGAACTCGATCGATCCAGAGAAACATGATTAGTGGACTAGATAATAATATGTAGTTTGGACCTAGGTTATGGTCAATGATAGAACATGTTCAGTGGTGATTAAATAGAAGTTGCCCAGTCTAAAATTTATTTTGTTCAAACGACCAATCATAGGTTGAGTTTTTTGTAAGATTTAATTTAATAAAAC